CATCACTTATTTTGGAAGATCAATAAGATCAATAATACATAGTACCAAACATAGCTTGCTTTCTTAAGTTGCTGTCGAAAAAGCGACAATATAAACATTCTTTGTTTTCTCGTCGCCATCTTGAATTTCCTATCAAATGGTCAGCGGCTATGAATCTTCCTGAACGGGAAGATGACTCTGATTGACTCTGGCAGTGACTTAAGCATTGGGGAATCCGAATTTGACAGTGAGCCAGAGAAGGCGTCAGATTCAGAGCTACTTTGGTAAATGTTTTCCAAGTGACTAATTCCTTGACAGTGAATTAATTATGATAAAGTGATGAAGTAAAGTTCATTACGTGCATAAGTATAACATCATTTTGATCAATGATTTCGGACTCATAAATTAATACTAATAGTGTACTTTGTCATTTTGTTCATGCAGCTGTAAAAATTAAACTACTACAGTAGTAGCACATTAAAGTACATTGTCATTTACAAGTATAAATGCAAATGACATCTAAATCTAACATGTTAAGGAATATGGATGACTTTGGGACAGAATGATTTTGTTTAATGTTGCTGTTCAGGTATCAAAATTTATGGACATGCATATGAACTTAATTGTTTTTACTTCATCTGGCTCACTAGTCACAATTGGGCCCTGTTCATATTACCTGGCTAGGTGGGAGACGACATTTGCCAGTATGTCCTATCCTATCCTGCTACTATCGGCCTGGCTAAGCATGACGTTTCCATTGCCAGAATCTTGGCTATATGCATGTAAGCCAAGAAATTCACCATATACAATAAGCACTGTATCCCAAACAGGCAACATGATAGGCTTCAAGCATGTGTTCTGGATAGCCTAGATCATATAAACAGGTCCCCAATAGATCCCGAGACTATAATTGAAACATTTTAGTCCATAAATTTGTGCATGTTATAATTAGAATATTGTAATTCAGTAAATAGTAATTAGCAATGCAGACTGTGGGCGTACCACAGGTATACAATAGCTTGTGTGCTTATATATAGGAATAGGGTTTTCAGTTTAATAATAAAAGTATATATACGAACGGGTTCATGTTTCAAAACATGGTGTCATGCAGGTGTGGGATATTCAATATGTTGAAGATAAACGCGCCTGAAAACTTCGAATTTGCTAAGCCACAACTGTGGCCTGAATGGAAACAGCGCTTTAAGCGTTATAGAATAGCGACGAAGTTAAACAAAGAAGACAATGAAATTCAAGTCAGCACGCTTATATACTCGATGGGAAAGCAGGCAGAACACGTCTATAAAACCTTTAGACTTGAGAAAGGCGAAGAAGAAGAATATGAGACAGTTCTAGCACAATTTGATGCCTATTTTGTCCCGAAACGAAATGTAATTCACGAGCGAGCCCGGTTTTATCAACGCCGACAGCATGCAGGAGAAACTGTTGAAGCGTTCATCCGAAGCCTGTATGAATTGGCAGAGAACTGTTTATTTTGCCGATGCACGAGACGAACAAGTTCGAGATCGGATAGTTATTGGACTATTAGATAAAAACGTGTCGCAAAGGTTACAGATGAAAGCCGGTTTGGATCTACAATCGGCGGTAGAAATAGCAAGACAATCGGAGTTAGTTAAAAGCCAATTGATCGAGCGTGAGTCATTAGAGACAAAGCAGATTGACGAAGTGCAACGACAAAGGAATTATCGCCGAGGTGATTGGAACAAAAGACAGACGTTATCATTTCAACAACAACAGCGGTGTGGTAGGTGCAATAGAAAGCATGTTAATGAGTCACAATGTCCTGCAAGAGGTAAGAAATGTAGAAAATGTTCTAAGATAGGGCATTTTGCCGCTGTGTGTAGAACTAAAACTGTACAAAGGAAAGCTGTTGGTGAAATTTCAAAGAAGTCGGACGAGCTTGTCCGAGAGTGGGACGAAACTTTCTTTTTGGGTTCCGTTATGTCATGTAACCGGGACAAAGATCCCTGGCAAGTTGACCTTAAGTTGAATGGGCAACCAACTAAATTTAAGATAGATACCGGAGCTGATATAACAGTCATACCAGAAGCCATTTACAGTAATTTAGTACCACGTCCACCCCTTCAATCAACAACAGCTGTCCTTCAAGGTCCTGGGGGAATAATTGCATGTATTGGTGAAATTACTGCAATTTTATCATATAAATTGGTGGAATATTCAGTTCGTATTTTTGTTGTTCGGGGAGAAAATGTGAACTGTTTGCTGGGTCGAGAACTTTCCACTCAAATGGGTTTGGTTAAAAGGGTGCATGAAATTACTGATCACAGCATATTTGGAGATATAGGGCTCTTGAAATGTGAACCCGTCAAGATACATTTACACGATAATGCTAAACCTTACAGTGTGAGTACCCCGAGGCGTATACCCTTTCCTCCACTGCCATTGGTGGAAGCCGAGTTGAAAAGAATGAAAGACGAAGGGATCATTGAAGAGGTGACAGAGCCAACTGAGTGGTGTGCCCCTATCGTCCCAGTCCCAATGAAGAATGGTCAAGTACGAATTTGTGTTGATTTGAAGAAACTAAACGAGGCTGTTAAACGCGAAAGATATGTTTTGCCCAGTTTAGATGATATTGCGCCTTCACTTGATGGATCCGAAGTGTTCTCAAAATTAGATGCTGCTAGTGGATTTTGGCAGATCCCTTTACATCCTGAAAGCTCTAAATTGACGACCTTCATTACCCCGTTTGGTCGATTCCGTTTTCGAAGACTGCCCTTTGGGATATCCTCCGCTCCGGAAATTTTCCAAAGATTGATGACCGATCTACTTCAGGGGAAACCTGGTACCAAAGTGATTATGGATGACATTTTGGTATATGGGAAATCGGTTGAGGAACATGAATCTAATTTGGAAGAAGTCCTGAATACCGTACAAAGTTCTGGACTCAAGTTGAACAAATCGAAATGCGAATTCCGCAAAGAAGAACTGGGATATTTTGGTCATCGCGTGGGTAAAAATGGCGTTAAACCCGACCCTGAAAAAGTGCGAGCCATCGTCGAGTTATCGCCTCCAACCAGTGTGTCTGAATTACGAAGATTGTTGGGTATGATCAACTACTTGGGGAAGTTTTTGCCAGATCTGTCGACGGTATTACAGCCTTTAAATGATCTTCTAAAAGGAAGTTCCACATGGGTTTGGGGCCCGTCCCAAGCAGAAACTTTCGAGAAGGTGAAGCAGCTGATATCTTCTGCTCCGGCGTTAGCATTTTACAACCCGAATCGTAAGACGGTAGTCAGTTCTGATGCCAGTAGTTACGGACTCGGTGGTGTGTTACTTCAAGAAGGAGATGATAAATCTTTACGACCGGTTGCATTTTGTTCTCGGACTTTAACACAAACGGAACAGAATTACGCGCAAATTGAGAAGGAATGCCTTGCAGCAGTTTGGACCTGTGAGAAGTTCTATCGTTATTTGTCTGGCCTTCCCGTATTTGAATTGCGAACAGACCATAAGCCTCTCGTACCGTTGATAAATCAGCAAACCCTAGACAAAGTTCCGATCCGTTGTCAACGCCTATTGATGCGTCTGCGTAGATTTAACGTCATCTCTGTTCACATTCCTGGGAAAGATCTTGTTCTTGCCGATGCTCTGTCTCGAAGTCCGTTGATCTCCAATACCAATGTCAGCGACAACCTTGATGATGAAGTTCAAATGTTCCTAAACGTAGTTGAGTCGAGTAGACCAGCGTCGAAAGAGAAGATTCAGTTAATAGAGAACGCAACTAAAGAAGATCAAGTGCTTCAAAAAGTAACCAAGTTAGTTCTAAGTGGCTGGCCAAAGTATCAGACGCAGGTTCCTGAAGAAGTACGATGTTTCTTTCCTTATCGTGGTGAACTTTCGTGCGTCGAAGGGAAATTAATTTATCGTGATCAAATAGTCATTCCAGCGTCAATGAGAATGGAAATGCTTCAGAGGATTCATGATGGTCATCTTGGGGTGACGAAATGCTTGGCACGTGCGAATTCCTCTGTTTGGTGGCCTGGTATTTCCAAGGACATTAAAGAGGAGGTTTCACGTTGTGAGTTTTGCCAAATTAACCAACCATCACAAAGAAGAGAGCCATTGAAACCAACACCGTTACCCGAGCGTCCTTGGCAGAAAGTAGCGGTCGATGCACTTGAATTAGATGGAAAGAAGTATTTGGTCGTAGTAGATTATTACTCCCGGTATCTTGAGCTTGTTTATGTACCAGATTTAACAAGCAGGACGGTGATAGCTAAGTTGAAGAGCATTTTCGCAAGATGGGGAGTTCCTGAAATCCTAATAAGTGACAATGGTCCACCATTTTTCTCAGAGGATTTTAGATCGTTTAGCGTTCAGTATGGGTTTCTCCATGTTTCGTCTAGTCCACATTATCCGCAGGCAAACGGAGAAGCGGAAAGTGCTGTCAAGATAGCCAAGAGAATCTTGAAGCAAACGGATCCGTTCCTTGCGTTGATGGTGTATCGAGCAACGCCAATTCCAGCGACAGGTGTAAGTCCTAGTCAATTGATCATGGGAAGACAGATTCGCACAACTATTCCAACACTTAGTCGTAATCTGTTACCAGCCTGGCCAGATCTTCCGACTGAACGCGAAGTAGACAAGGAATCGAAAGAAAGATATAGTCATGCTTATAACAAGAGGCATGGTGTGAAGTCCTTATCTGATTTGGAACCAGGTCAAACTGTTCGGGTGAAAACCGATAATCAGAAGAAATGGAGCCCTGTTGGAGTTGTCAGTGGATATGGATCTACACCAAGATCATACATTGTGGACACTCCAGAGGGGAAAAAGATGCGGAGAAATAGACGACATCTTCAAGCTGTTCCTAAAGCAGTTTCTGACGACATTCTTGAAGACGACATTTTTCAAGCGATTCCTGAAGTTGTTCCTGAGATCAATCCAGAAACAAGCGAATTGTCAAGAAGAGTGGCAGATCGAAGAAATCCAGAAAGAACGTTACAGAATACGCCAAGCCATACCTCAAGCGGACGTGTTAGAAGGAAACCAAAACGGTACATTGAGGAATATTGACAATTTTCCAGAGATATTGAAACATATTTAATTAACTATTATATTTGATAATAATGACGTTGGACATATGTATATATATATATATATATATATATATATATATATATATATATATATATATATATATATATATATATATATATATATATATATATATATATATATATATATAAATATATATAAAAATATAAATATTTGTGTTATGAACCTTTAGGTTAGAGACTTTAGTAGTTATTTATTAGAATCGTAGATACAGAGGACAAAGTACAAAAAGAACACAAAAAAATATATATTACTTTCTTTAAGGAGGGAGATGTTATAATTAGAATATTGTAATTCAGTAAATAGTAATTAGCAATGCAGACTGTGGGCGTACCACAGGTATATAATAGCTTGTGTACTTAGGAATAGGGTTTTCAGTTTAATAAAGTATATATACGAACGGGTTCATGTTTCAAAACAGTGCATTACCAGAATACCTGTACACAAATTAATATTTTGCACATATTATATAATAATGCAATCCAATATTAAGCCCCCAGTAACCTTACAAACAGGCCTCCCTTCCAAAAATCAGATTTCCCTTCCAAAAATAAGCTCTCCCTGTTAAGGCTGCTTCGTACCCAGGCATCTCTTTGTAAAAAAACAGTGATGCGCATATGATGAGTTTACATGAAGTATTGTAGTGGGGAGAGATGGGCGAAGGGGCTAATGGGAAGAGTGCACTTGACCATACTTGACAGCCCCTTCGCGTGTCGCATGCCTGAATACTTCATGTATAATTATTTAAAGCGCCTGGGTACGAGGCAGTTTCAGGGCTAGTTTGTCATTTGCCTCACAGGAGTCGGGCTAACCTGGCAAGTGTTGGCCAGAAATTTGTGTGAAATGCTGGTTAATTTGTTAATGGCAACTGCTTCAGAAGGCTTATATTAAACAATTTCTTACTTACTTGGGCCAAATTGTGTATTATAACATGATTTTTAGTCGAGTGAGCTGGCCGGTTGGCCATCTTATGACCTTTATTAGTGTGAGACTCCCAATGCAGCATATCAACTTGCTCAAGCAGATGCTGGGCCAATAAATTTAACCAGGCTGTTCCATGTGAATGCAATCTCAAACATATATAAAATTAATATACGAGGCAGTATCTTACCATGAGCAGGTGTATATTTAGCCCATATAAATGGACAAGACCAGCTAGCTTGGTGTGATATTATACTACTGACAATACCTGGCTGATTCTACAAGCTAGAGTATGGCTTAAAATGTTCCAATTGTAGTTTCAGGATCTGTTAAGGGTCTGTTGATATGGGACCCTAAAGGCAAGTTCATGTTGCCAGGTTGTGGGATAGAATGTTTACTGTAAATGGTGAATTTCTTGGCTTGCATAGTTGGCATTCCGGCAACGGATACCTCGTGCTTAGCCAGGATAGTAGCAGGATAGTATATCGACAATACTGGCAAATGTTGTCTCCTGCCCAGCCAGGTCATAAGAACAGGCCCCATTTGTGACTAGTGGGCCAGATTAAGGATGAAACAAATGAGGGTCCTATGGCTATGCTATGACTACTGTATATGTCCATAAATTTTGATATCAGAACAAAATTTCGATATCTGTCCCAAAGTTATCCATCTTCCTTAAGTTTAGGACTCTGAGACCAATGAATATATTGTCATTCAAAGATTAAAAAGAATGAAGACAAGTGTTATGGTCAAACAAACGAAAATATTCATGTCCACAGGCTGCAACACGCAATGTTGACACATTATTCTGAAGTCGACAAAATGTCGAAATCGACGAAAAACGAGCCAAAAAACAGTTCTTGAGCTAATCAATTAAATAAATACTTGGCATACGTTTGAAGGTCCATAGTCCAAAATATTTGATGAGTTTCTTTAGCCCATTTATAACAACACAATTTTAAAAATTCCCTGTATTTAGATACGAACCATGTTGATCGCTACGCTGTTTAGCAAGAAATCGACATGTCAACTTGTCCCGGCCCGGAAGTGTCCTGTTTAGTTGTTACACAGGATATTAATAAGTTAATGTGAAAATATGAAGATAAAAGTATCTTTTAAAAAATAAAACCTCTCAAACCTCGATTTGAAAGGCTTTTAAAAACGCTAATCCGTTCGGAACCTACAAATTCGAGGGGTGGTATTTAAACTTGCGCAAGGCAAAGTTTGAATACCCATATCTTCGCAATCACGCAATTAATCAAAAATCGCCACGAGGAAGTTGAGGAGAATTCTTTTAAGAACAACATATATCAATTTCATGGAAAAAAACAAAAAAACCGCTTGCAGAAAAGCTCTGAAGTAACCCCATACGTTTGTTAACAAATTTCATGTGATGAAGCGTTTTACGCATTCTGATTGGCTTAGTACAAAAATGTAAACGAAAGCGCTGATTGGTCGAGAACGAGATTCCCCCTTGTTGTTTGACATGAAAATATGTTTGAGAGAGAATACCCAACTTCAAACTTCAAAGTATACGATTTTATAAAAAATATTTGATTCTTGACTTGACTGTTGATAAAATACTAGAGTGCATGTTTTTGTAATTTAAAAGCAAACAGAAGTAAGTATAGGAGTTAGCGGGCGCTTCGAACTATGTATCGTAAAATCCCACTCTTAGACCTAAGTAATTGAAATTTGACATTTTTTGTGGAAGCATGTAATTTGATACTTTGCCACTCCCCCATGGGCAATTAATTTTTGTAGAGTCACGTGACTGGACAATACCAGGGGTTTCCTAAAAAGACCCTGGGTGCGAGGATGTGAATGAATTAGAAAGTTCGGAAAAGCACAATTCAATTCAATGTTTTTAATGTTATTTTGGGCTTTGACTCGTCTTATAAAATGTCACCATATATGTTTTGAACACTTTTTGAAACATGACGAATAAACAGATGTAGTACTGAAGAAATGCAACTATTTGCATTTAGTTGCAAACTACGTATTACGAAAACCGCGGATCCTTCCTAAACATTCAGGAATGTGACCACATTCTATACATAGTGAAATCGACATGATGGGAATGGTGTGCGAGAATTTATGTTGACATATATACAGTACTAGGTAAAAACAGTTTCAGATTTTAACAATTATAATCGGTACTGGAATGTAGTCGCATTCCTGAATGTTTTGACACAAAAACATGACACTTTTGAGGGGCAAGACGAAGCACCCACATGTTTCATAATATAAACCCAACTACAGTGTTGTACATCTCTGCATGAAACAGTTAATAGAGAGCTGACGTCTACATTGTAGATCTTAAGCTATCAAATATTGTATATCGAGCGATTTTGTAAGTTTTGAGCGAGACACTATCAAGCGAGAATTATCACACCTATCAAGAAAGCTGCAAGTTGCAAGAAGGTGAATGATTGCAAGAAGGCGAATGACAATCTTTAATTTGAATAATCTTTCATTGTTGACAATTGAACAGACTGTGCATCCTAGCAATATCATTGTTGAGATATCCAACTCACAGTAGATTATTGTACTCTTTAGGCTGGTCATTTTAAAGTTGCTGGTGATGATAAACTGAGTAAAAGAGTGTATGTTAATTTTAGTTTATATTAGTTAATAACTGCAACAGCAGTAGCAATTATATATTGGTTCACGCACCACTGGTGCAATAAATCACAATTTGTAGTTGTACATCACTGGTTAACACAGGTTTGGTGGTGTATCTACTGCATAGGCATTTTACTGTATTCCAGCTGCAACGTGTCCTGCCGTTCACTGTATCAGTCACGTCATGAATCCAGTTCGCTGTATCAGTCATTTATGCATCAGATTGTGCTCAAATTAACGTTTGCATGGAAGGCAAGATAAATTAAATGATTTTCAATTACTAGGATAAAGAAGGCAAGAAGACGTGTTCCAGGAAGTGAATCTGTAAGAATCTTAAAAATGTGTTTGAATGTCACAATATCCTTAATTAGGTCAATATTTTCAATGCAGATTGACAGGCTGAGGGATTACTAACTTCCCCACAAAATTTACTTGTATTTTTCAGGGAGTTGAATCCCTATCAATCCCCAGTTTTCCGGTGTTTTTGTCACTACCTACACTGGCACAGACAGTGATCAATTATCGGACGAGGTTGAGCAAAATATCGTGATTTGTCGGTGGCGAGCAGATCAATTATTTGCCGATGCCGAAGGGAGAGGCAAATAATTAATCTGCGAGCCGCCGACAAATCACTATATTTTGCGAGAACCAAGTTCAATAATTGTTTTATCGTTCACTTATAAAGCTTCATTTTATCTTTCGTTCACTATATAAGTTTGCCGTCTTTCTTGCTTCTGCATAAAAACTTGCGAAGGTCATTGGCAAGAGTTTCTTTTGAGCCAACTAGATCGTCTTCGTTGATTTATCTTGCTTCTAAATGCTGGCAAAAGACGTTGACGGTGGTTTTAGTCGCTTTTTTATTTTCCGCGTTTTTTTCTTCAAGTAAGCAAGACAACTCATTTTCCGAAAGTTCAGCAAAGCGAGCCGCCATTGTTTGCAAAAATTGAAGGCAGTGCGCATGCTCAGACTATTATTTGTAACTGAGCCGTTGCTCAGACTATTACTCATTTTAACAAATGCGCATGCTCAGACTATTATTTGCACGCAGTTATTTGCAGGTAAATTAACCAATCAAAATTGAGAATACTATAAAGTGAATGATAATTTGACTTATTTGCAATGTAGCCTATAGAGTTTTTTTTACAAGTAGAGAAAAAGTTCTATAATTATAATTAGTCACTGTATAATGTTATGCATGGTGCTAGTTTTATAGCTGCCATGTCCAGACTGCGTTTTTTTTTATTTACTGTGTTGTATTTTGTATATACACTCAATACATTAATTTATCTCTCATCTTAGACAAACACTTTTAAAGGTTTCCAAGGATTTGGCATTCCGCAAAATTCGTCTACACCTATGGTCAATAATGCATCAAATACTTTTACTGGATTTAAAGGCTTTGGAAATCAGAGCGAGAAAAAAGGTAGTCATACCGCATTATGTTTGTCTCGTTATTCTCTGGAGACACATTGGGATTATGACATGATATCTAATTTTATTGCATATTTAATTTAATAAAGGGAGATGTGCAGTAAAACTTAATTGTTTAATAGAACATGCATGACAACCGAAAACATTTATTGTTTCATTTGAAAGAACATTTAAAACTATCTATAAAATAACAATATGAAATTGGTCGAAGACCCGTACTCAGGAAATAAAATAACAACATAAAACGCTCACTGAGTTTCCAGCGATATACATACCCTTTTCTAGATATATACCTAATAATAATAAACGAACGAACGAATGTATTCCTTCCACTCGTGAGCTCATTTACCATTGTCACATATAGTAAATGTCCAGGCCTTCTTTCCTTTTAAGTGCCCATCCAGGGTCACAAGGCCTGGACATTTACTATATGTGACAATGGTAAATGAGCTCACGAGTGGAAGGAATACATTCGTTCGTTCGTTTATTATTATTAGGTATATATCTAGAAAAGGGTATGTATATCGCTGGAAACTCAGTGAGCGTTTTATGTTGTTATCTATAAAATCTTGTTACAGAATTTTTATATCCAGCTTAACACTTGAAATCTTTTGACTGAAGGCAATAAACCGTCCGCCACCTTGGGTTAATTCTTAACTCATTAACTATCGTTTTGATGACGTCAGGAGTAGGGTTAGCCTTATTCTTGGGTTTCATATGACGTCACAGAAGTGACGGATGGTCAACTCTAAAACAAAACACAGTTATCAGAGTGAGTCGATTGTTCGTTTTATGTATTAAGCCGGTTTTCCACTTCAAGCGTACCGTACCGAAACGTATCAAAAACTTTTTAAATTTGAAAATTTCGTGATTGTTGATTGGTTAGTACTTCCGTAGTACGCCAAAAAGTTGACTTGCGACGAACTTTTTATTTTGATACGCGAATACACCCGGAAGTACGTGGATTTATAAACCTTTTCTCAGTCTGCGCATGCTCACCAGTACGTTTCGATACGATATGGGCGAAGTGGAAAACCGGCTTTAGCCTTGTGTTTGGTGGCAAATACATGAAATTTCGTATCATTTTCTCACTCCAGTACAGCATAAGCATCAATACATTTGAGGTTGACCCCGTCAGATTTACTGCATAATGCCGTCCAGGTGAAACCCAAGAACACAATTACTTCGATCTAAGATACCTGTACAATCAAATAACAACCAAAAACAAGTTTCTGGTTCATGTTGATGATTTGCTGTCAAGATAAAATACTTGCGTGATCCCACATATCCTCAATAATTCAAGATGGCGGACAGCTCAGTGCTTTCAGTCAAAATATTTCGAGAATCGAGGAAGATATGAAAAATCTGTAGCAATATTTTATAGATAATTTTAAAGTTAACGTTCTTTCAAATGAGACAATAAAATTTTTTATGCCATTGTCCTTTCACAAAACATTGTTATTCCTTTGGATGGCGTTCCTCTGAATTTATGAAAAGAAAATTTGTCAACTGATACAGCTATCCAGTACAAATAAAATTAGACCGCTTATGTTTGAATTTCCCCGCCAACAACACTAGACAATAAGACCAGCAATAGACGGTAACATAATAATAATAATATAATCGTTCTTTAAAACGCATTATACAGAAGTCTCACAATAAGAATATAAGAACAGTTAGTCATGCCCTTGAAAATTGTCTTTTACAGAAATCAGAAATGAACAAACTAGTAATTCAAGTGTGAAAACAGCAAATTCAGATTCTGCTTATATGACTCAACTCAAGAGACTAAATCAAGAAGTATGTGAATGGATAAAAAAACATATCAATGAAAATCCTTATGTTGATCTATCACCAATCTTTAAAGATTATGAGAAACACTTGTTAAATCTTGAGAAGAAATTTCCTGCTGTGAATAAACCTGCTGGTGTGAATGAGGTTGCGTCGACGAAAGTGACAACTGTATTAACTGCGAATGTACAGGCTGTTCGTGGTCTTTCATCTTCTGTTGGCATGCCCACTTTGAATGGAAGTAAGTTCTGGAGTCGTTGTGTTATTAAGCGTGTTTCACATTAGCAGTTTTGTTGGTAATTTTCTCATCTGCATAGCGGAACGAGTGGACGAACACGCACACCAAAGTATAGAATTGGTTTTCGTAAACGTGCCTGTTGCAGCTCATTCAATCACAGCCGCCAGAAGGAGAAAAGCCGCCAACACAATAGACCTTATGCATAATGACGTCACAAGGCTTGATGCCCGAGAAGAATGCTGGTCTTAGTAGTCAATCGCCCAGGAAAATTTCGATGGTGGCCATTTTGAATTGTTTAATTTTCCCTGGCGATGACTACTAAGACCAGCATTCCTCGCTTGCATCAAGCCTTGTGACGTCATTATGCATAAGGTTATTGCTATAGACGGTGTGAGACCGGCCTCGCAAAACCAACAATTTTCGCAGGGAGACGCCCTTGGACATGTGGGTGATACCTTCCGACCCACATGCATAGCCGCCTACTTCCTTCAAAAAACCTCCAAATTCTATTGGAAACCCTGATCCCAGAATGGTAGTCCTTACAGCCAAACGTACCATCACGGTAGCTGGAAATAAGATAACAGCCCAATGATTGAGTTTAGCAACGTTTCTCGCTGTGAAAACTAAGGTTCCTTCCTAAATTACAATATTACTGTACATCTGTGAAATATCTTTCCGCTAAGCTATAATTGTAAGAAAAGACGACAAAATTATAAGTCCGTCAAGATGTTCAGTGTTTTAAATGATTTTGTTCCCACATACAGCACAGTACCTTTAAAAAATACGTACACTATGGTTGTCCTTGCCTAAACCGAAGACTGAATTTGTGGGGAATGAATTCCTATGAGTATTGAGTACATATATTCGCTGGATCCAAATTATGGACCGGCGTAGCTGATTTGAAACTTTCATGCACATTCTCATCTTTTACAAGGGGTTTAGCAAAACTTTCTTTTAACCATTGATCATGAGACATATATAATTTTATCTTACAAGTAATTATTAACTTTGTAAATATTTGTATATAAACCTTCAGCTTTTGTACTGTAAATTGATTGAGTACCGAATTCAAATAATTTTTAGCAATATCAACATGCGACTTTAAATCTTGCAGATACTTGTTTGAATTCGAGTCAACCTGACGTTGTTAAATCTTCTGGTACAGAGGCAGATGATGCACCGAAAACACAAAGTCAAGTTAAAAGGTACGAACAAATTTCCACCCGATATAAATACGGTAAACATATGGTTATACAGTATATTATACTAATAATGAATGTTTATGAGTGCAATGGTAAGAATATTTTCATGAGGTGAAAGATGGAATCCATTCAACGAGGCGACAGCCGAGTTGAATGGAACATTCCATCTTTCACCGAATGAAAATATTCTTACCGTTGCACTCATAAAAACATTCATTATTTGTTTTATATAATACCAAAATAGACTAATATTAAAAGGTTTACTGTAAGCTTTCGCCATTTTGACGAGTTGTATTTGCATTAAATCCCATTTACTGAGTTTCGAATATCGGGTTAAAATAAATTGCGATCACCGTACGAGAAGCATTTTGACGGATGCGATTTATCGAAAACACAAAGAGTGCAATGGAATAAAACGTATAGTACAATTGCACTCGCAATGAGTGCAATGGAACGTATTCCATTGCACTCTTGGGAAATGGAATTTTCTATTCAATATCACGTGACCATATAAACAGCCAATTAAACGATCAGAATTCAATAAGGTATTATATAAAATATAATATAATACATGCTTTGGAGGCTCAATGCATGGGGAGTACATTGTAACTTTTGTCTTGGTTCATGCAATCATTTTTTCGTTGTTCTTCACGTGTGTATTGTTTTTTCGCCCAACTAACGCAATGTTTTGGTTTAGTTATCTATCGGTGACTTGAACACTTGGTTAGTTTAAAGTTGATTGAGTGAAAATACAATAAACGTTAATATTCTGTGACGAACAAAGACTACATTTTTTACATAAACCTTGACAAATATACTGTGATAAGTTCCATTGAGCCTTCAAACCTGGTATAACTGTGATAAAACACTAGAAGCTGTTTATTATCTGATTTCCAAAAAGACAATAGCCGAATTGTTTGAAGATGTCAATAGATAGATTTTTGAAAACACGACGCGACGTCTATTAAAGAGGACTTGAAAATGACGTGTGCACCTCGCGTTCACTTCCGGGTTTTAATCTGAGACGGCATTTTGTCTTTTTCGAAGCAATTTTTTGTTTTCGTGTTACCTGCTCATTCCTGTATTGTCTTCAATCAATTGTCAAGATATGTGCAAGAAAAGGCTGTATAATACTACTGACCATGCAAGAGTTTCCTGATGAATTTGTATGAACATTCAATACGTTTTTTTAGAAAAAAAACGTATATTTCGGTATTTTGAAATGTCAATTTTGTTCCATTATTTGGAATAAATACAAAAGCTGTTTACGATCTAAATGCTTTAGTTTGTGGCCTATTCAGTCGAGTTTTGTCAACTGTTCAGTATAAATATTGCATCAATGTTTATATTGGTAAAATTTAATGCTGTTTACGATAGTTTTTCACTCTGGAAAGCGTTTTTTACTTGTGCTACTTTTTCGCACTGTTGTGATAGTAAATGAAAATTGATTGAGTTTTACTGCTTTAAGTGCTTTTATTCTTCTATCTTCCCAAGTTTTCCTGATTTTAAACACTTGTTATTATAATTTCAGTTTGGTTTGTTCTAAAATGTTTGTTTTGGTAAAGAATACTTTACAAAACATTGTTAATAAGTGGTTATTAACAATGTTTTGTTGATTTGTTCTGGCCACGAAAGTTTTGTCGAAAATCAACACGTTCAAAATTTAGCGAAATACAAAAAAAGAACCTTGTCAATAAAAAAATATTTATTAACTAGAATCATTAAGGTGGCTCGCTACAGTTTATAGAAATGTTGAAAATGCGTAAACTAGATCACCTTTTTGAAGAGATGATGCTCTTTACAAATCGAAATTTGTATATTATATATACAGCGACAATCAAACAGTCGAAAATTGCTCGGAAAAGTGACGTCACCACTGTTGCTATGGCAACAATGACGATTCAAGATGGCCGATATTTTGGCTTTGAACGCATTTTACTTTAAAAAAAGGTCGGTTACCCCCATTTTTTATTCCCGAAAACATTTTCTTATAGTACAATACACTATCTGACCAATTTTAACAAAATTCTGTAATGCCAAATTTTTTAAAAATTTATAAACATAGTTTTTCGAAATAAATTTTTTTTTGCATTACAGAATTTTTTTTAAATCGGTCAGATAGTGCATTGCACTATAAGAAAATGTTTTCTGAAATAAAAAATGGGGGTAACCGACCTTTTTTTAAAGTAAAATGCGTTCAAAGCCAAAATATCGGCCATCTTGAATCGTCATTGTTGCCATAGCAACAGTGGTGACGTCACTTTTCTGACCAATTTTCGACTGTTTGATTGTCGCTGTATATATAATATACAAATTTCGATTTGTAAAGAGCATCATCTCTTCAAAAAGGTGATCTAGTTTACGCATTTTCAACATTTCTATAAACTGTAGCGAGCCACCTTAAACAATACATGGGGAACAAAATGGGATGATGTTTATGATGTATACTCTTATACTCTTTGAGCTCGCGTCGTCTTTTCTAAATCTGTCTATTATCCAATGTCTATTATCCAATTATCCACATAATTTAGGTTAATTAATAGGCCCTTTCCAATTGGCCTAATACACTTCGCCTAAACAATATCTGGAGGGCAAAAAACGCTGTGCTTTATTTTATCCCTTTGTTTACAAATCGCACAGTTCTCCATGATGCTCTCCAGTCACCTATTGTTCTCGTACACCATAGTTAAAGGATTGCAATGTCACACCAAGGTATTGCGGGCTCAAATTCCCGCTGGGTAGTAGATCTGGAAACGTTGTAACCCGTCGTATATTTAGCCTTTGAGAACACTTCTTTCTTTTATCTGGAAATGTACCAAACAAAGTATTTTTACCGTTATTTGTTGATTCTGGGCAAAATAAAAACAACAAAAGCCCATGCAATACCACTAATCCCTTAAATGCAAAGAGCTTATTCATGGACATTTATTACCACCTTTCTTAAAAGACGTCTATTCATTTTGTGTTTCACTCATGAATGATTAATAAGTTTGAGATATCTAATTACAGCACGCCTGAGGAAGACGCATTTTATTCAACTCGCTGTAAACTTTTCTTCAAACGAGACAATGATTGGTCTGAACTTGGTGTTGGAATGTTAAGTTTGAAGAAAACGTCAAGTAAGAAGATGCAAGTATTAGTACGTAACGACACAGCGTTGGGGAAGATCATTCTTAACGTCTTTGTTACTGAAGCAACGCCCACTTCACGATCAGGAAAGAACAATATCTTACTCATGAGTGTTCCCAACCCCCCAGTATTTATTGGTAAGGAAGGTGACAACACAAAACCAGCTAGTTATCTTATCCGGGTGAAAACAGCAGAAAATGCAGATGAACTTCACAAACATTTACAAACAGCTAAAGATTAGATTAACTTGGTGAAAATAATGCCACATCTGGACTTTCTTCAGCTCAACGCCCTTGAAACATCAGCTTTCTACTTAATATGATAGGAACTTTACAGTAGATATATTTTACAAACAGTTCATGATTTGCCATAGTCTTATGATGGAAATATAACAGTGTTCCCTAGATTACTGAGACCTGGACTGTGCGCAAAGGGAAAAACATTTTATACTCAGAAACTGATTGAGCACTATTTTAGACATGGATTTACAACTATATTAGGCTATATTTATTTTGTATGCATTAATAGAAGCTTTTTAGGAAATAAATAGAACAACATTGTAAAATGTACTTAACTTGTTAGCAAATGAGCTTTTCTGTGTCATTTACAATGGGATATATATTTCATTATTCTTTTCTATACCTGTAGTGTTTGGTGTTCACTGGTACAGTAAACACCAATGTGGCTGGAATATGAACAGTCAGGATTCACTTTTTTGTATCCCTCCGCATGCCTAACGTTTGTTTACACTATGCTCATAAATTGTTATAGGCTCAAATTCCAATGCCCTCCTACGTTAAGTCCGTAAAAATGCAATTAGGAGACAAGAGCAAACCTCACTCTGCAGCAATGCAGAACGACAGAATAGTAAATAAATAAAATTCATTAATCTATTCGTCTACATTTTATCGTTTACATTTACCATCTATCCATTTACATCAATTTTTTATCATTTACATTTTTTACATTTTATTTCAAGACATGTTTTTTGAAAAACCTCCCGTTAGGTTATGAAAAACCATAGCCTATCGAAGGAAAGATAGCTGTGAAATCATTATTAAATAATAATAACAATATAACTCATTATCGATCTACATTAGTCGACGTTTATTCATAAATCTGGTCCTTCACAGTCACGTGTGTCTTGTGTTTTTGCCCAACTATTAACCAATAGTATAATTTCAGCATTGAAAAATGGCCTTTCAACATTTTGATTGGCTCCCTCAGCAGTAACTCTGAGGCAATAGTTACTGCTTTTCCTAAAAAAATGGCTAAATATCAGACGGAATTAAATTATTTATGCAAATTATATTCATAAAATAAACACGTGTGGTAGTTGTGTTTATAAATAAAACATTTTCAATACTGAAATTACACTAAAATAATTAGTCGCCTCAGGTTTGGTGATTACAAGAACAGTGTTATTCTTTCAGCGGACAAAGGCAATTGTGTTGTTGTTATGGACATGAATATCGTGAGAAGGCTCTTTCACTGTTGAGTGACAGAAATACGTATTCAATTCTCAAGTCTGATCCTACTGGAAAGACTCAAATAGTTTTAAACGCCAAGTTACTTCTCTTATTATCAGCAAGGCTACGTATGACAAGTTCTACAGTAGTGATGGACTATCTCCGCGTTTCTATGGTTTACCGAAAATCCATAAACCGGAAATTCCATTGAGACCTATTGTGTCCTTTGTGAATACTCCCACATATGGTGTTTCAAGTTTTTTTGCGAAAATGTTGTCTCCTTTGGTGGGAAATACCGAAACCACTGTCAAAATTCCTGTCATTTTGCCGAATTTGTAAGTGTTAGTATCATTTGATGTCGTTTCCTTGTTTACAAAAATCCCAGTTGATCTTGGCATCAAGGTTGCGACAAAAAGACTAAGACAGGATGTCACTTTGCTACGAAGAACATCCTTGCCTGCATGTAGAAGATATTGATCTTCTGTCTCAACACCACATACTTTGTTCTTTAGGGCAGTTATTATCAACAGGTTTTTGGAACAGCAATGGGGTCACCAGTATCGGCAGTAATTGCTAATTTAGTACTGATGGAAGATGTCGAACAAAGAGCTTTAGCCTCTGTTCTGGTATCTCTTTCGTTTTGGAAACGTTTCGTCGATGTTGTCATCTCTACGGTTTCCAGAAATGAAATCGATATTTTGCTGCAACGTTTAAATTCTGTTGAGCCGTCCATTCAATTCACGGTAGAACGTGAGATGAATGGACATTTAGCTTTTTAGATTTGGATGTTCACAGAACTGTCCAAGGGAAGTTAGAGACTGATGTTTATCGCAAACCCACACACACACATAAATACTTGTCATACGACTCTCATCACCCAGTAAGCCATAAAAGATCCGTAGCAAAAACTTTGCTTCAAAGAGCTGAATCCTTGCCGTCAAACAGTGATTCTCAAGCTACGATCCTGGCAAAAACTAATGAAACATCCAGTATGATTAACAATTTAACCTAATCTTTCCCCCTTACAATGTTGATTAAGATGAGTAAAAAACCTACACATAGTGTTCTCTGCCATCGATGAACTATTGAACACAATTTTTTAGACTCTACAGCCAACATTGTTCAGGGGGGAGGGGATTTTGTCTGTTTTATTGATTTTTTATAGGTGTTTCATTAACTTTTTGCCAAGATTGTCTGAAAAAGCCTTAAATACAAAAATTTTTCCCCGACTGTTATTTACGGTAACGATGCTGGTTTTAAAATATAGTTTAGCAGATTGTTTAAAGCAGCTTTGAAATCAGGTATATTAATATTTGGGTGCCATGGAAACCATTTCATATATATATATATATATATATATATATATATATATATATATATATATATATATATATATATATATATATATATATATATATATATATATATATATATATATATATAAAAAAAAAAAGTGAAGAGAGTGCTCAATACATAAAATTATGTAGAGCGAATGTAATTACTATTCTTACTTAAAATGTTTTTTTGTCTCTACTCCGAGTTTCACGCATCACTGCGATCATCAGGAGACATTGTTCTCAAAAACAAAAATATCAGACATTGTTCTCATTGTTCTCATTGTTCTCATTCAGACATTGTTCTCATTGTTCTCATTGTTCTCATTTGAGAACAATGTCTCCTGATGATCGCAGTGATGCGTGAAACTCGGAGTAGAGACAAAAAAACATTTTAAGTAAGAATAGTAATTATATATATATATATATATATATATATATATATATATATATATATATATATATATATATATATATATATATATATATATATATATATTATACATATATAACTACAGACGGTACCGTTTTGGCCTTTTGGGCCTCATCAGTGTAGTGCCTCATCAGTGTAGTGCTGATGAGAAGGATGAAAGTAACTATAGTATTAATAGTTACCTTTGATGTCTCACGAATGTGGGACATCAAACCATGCCAGAGTGCTCAAATGCAAGCAGTGAGCGTGCGCATAATGCGCAAGCGGCAATGGCTCATTCGTAGATGACTAGACAAAGTGATTTAGGACGAAAATTAGACGGAATTCTTGCATTTCAGTATATCTATATTTTGTGTAACTTAGCTCAAGTGTTGGTAAGCATGTTTCTAGTTAGAAATATATTCATAAATATAGGTAATTATAGAGATAACGGAAAACAACGATTTTAACACGGTTGACACTAACGGTTGACAAGATGATCATAAGACTTTAATATGAATTTTGCAACGGTTGACGGTTGACAGTATTGATAAAAAAAATTATATTAAATATTTTTTTATTACTCTCAAACTGTCAAGCGTTGTTCATCCTAAAATCCAGGTTATATAGCTAAAATGGAGTGTCAAGTGCTGATGTCAACCGTGTGTCAACCGTTGCTTTATATCATGAAAACATTAAAGTCGGTAATTATATTGTTTCAACGGGAGACACTGATCATACTTTAGTGGAAATTGTATTCAAGTCGTCCAGCATAATAACTTGAGTTTTCAGTTTTAAACCATAACTACAATCCTGATTGCTCCTTAAAATATTCTTTCTCGTACCCAGGCTACATGCACGTTCTGTAGGTGTCAGAAGTGATATTAAAACATTATTGCTTTACTAAACATGTAACTATATAAACTGGAAATTCAACATAATCTTGGTGTAAAATACTGTACGTATTAAGGCATTTCGTAAATTTGAAAAATCAGACAATCCTGGCAAAAACTAATGAAACATCCAGTTTGATTAACAATTTAATTTATTCTTCCACTTCCCCCCTTCCAATGTTGATTAAGATGAGCAAGAAACCTACACATAGTGCTCTCTGCCATCGATGAATTATTGTACATAATTTTTTTAGAATCTATCTCCAACATTGTGCAGGGGATTTTGTCTGTTTTATTGATTTTTTATAGGTGTTTCATTAACTTTTTGCCAAGATTGTAGGTTAACCTAAAATTGAAAGCAAACTTCCCGACAGCTTGGTTATAAACTTGGAAATATTTCTTCAGAAATCTTGTCTGGACCAATGAGAGTTTTCTTCTCTGAAGTATTGAAACAAATAGATGTGCAGAAATGCATAAACTAAAACAGCAGGTTAAAATTTAACCCAGGATTAGCGCTAATCGTGCTTTGAACAACCGGCCCCTGATGTGTAACTTAATAGGACTTCGTGTCCTCAAATTTTCCTAAGCTGCACGTCATGCACACGTCATGACACTTGCTACAAATACAATCCTGGCAAAAATTATCGTGGACACCGCGTGCGTCAAACAAAACTATATGTATTTCTACAGAATTTCTCCCACTAAAAAAATTCTCCCCCTCCTCAATTCAATGTTGGCAAATCATCTAAACATACTTTTAAAATTTAAATGCGGCAAACAACATTGAATAGGGGCCAGGGGGGGGGGGCTAATTTCATGAAATAACGTCTCAATGTGTCCACATAATTTTTGCTAGGATTGTAGGAAGATGGCGGCGTAACATGGCGTACATTTACCAAATTCAGTCACGCGAGCGACACTTGCTAGGAAGATGGCGACCGCGCGACAACTTCTTTACTGAAATTACACATCTGTTCGTACTTAATCTCTGCTCGTATGCAGGCTATATAATAGGCATACATGAAGTATTCAGACAGATGCGCGACTCGCGAAAGGACACCTTTCCCATCAGCTCCTTTGCTCGCCATTAAAATATTTCATGCAAGCTCGACATACGCGCGTCGCTGTTTTTTACAAAGACACCTGGGTACAAAGCAGAGAGGTCTTAGGTCTATATTATGACATGTCATGTAGCATCAAACACATTCATACTTTTCGTGCAGGTAGCCAAATATTATTTGGAGTTTATTAGCCCCATATATTTCATGAGCAAAGCTAGTGAGGTATGGCAGGGTTCGAGGATAAAATTATTTTGATTATTTTGGCCACAGGAAGTAAATTTTGGAAATAGGATGCCTCAACTAGGATTTGGACCAGAAAAGACTTCTATAAGTTAAAAGGCTCAATTGACTTTATTGATTACATTTTCGTAGCGCTTTGCATCGTGGTTATAGTAGACTCGGTTCAAGTCCGTCTCAGGAGAAAAGTAGGGAGGGACGGACTTGGGACATTTGCAGCATTTCGAATGTTGCTTGTAAAAATTGGCGCGAAAATTTGTTGTTGTTCTCAACTCGCAAGCCACGCCTCCGTAGGAAAAATCCGACGGTAAAATTTGGCGCGCTTGCAGGGTATCCAAGTCCGTCTCTACCTACTTTTCTCTCATATTTTCGCGCCTTTTTTGACCGCTCGCGTGCATCGCTATTTTCAACCCCTTGAGAGACGGACTTGAACCAAGTCTATGGTTATAGTGGTATCACTGATATTCAAGATGGCTTATTTTTTGTCCTGACCCGTGCAAGAACCTTTAAAAAAAGCTAGGGTCAGGTGCGCGATAGCCAACAAAAAAATATTCGCGAAAACATTCAATATTTTCATTCGAGGCCGCTATCTTTATCAGTGATACCACTATAACCACAATGCAAAGCGCTACGAGAACGTAATACGGGGAATCTAGAATTCCTTTGAAACACCTAGAGTTTATTTTACTTAGTGACACATTTCACACATCACAGACATTTTTGTTTTAAATGGATGTACAATGTCAATTTGTTATATACCTCATTTACATACAATTTAAACAGACCATGTCAAACAATACAAATTTTGTTTTACTTTCAATATCCATAAAGTAACATAAAACCTTCTTAGTCCGTCTTCAAATTGTCCAAACCCTAAAATCATAGAAATAACATCCCATAAATTGCTAGCTTGTTGGAAATTCCTTACTAAAAAAGACTCCATTCTGACATTACAGCCAGTGACAACAAATAATTTGTTGTCTCAATGCTGAAGCAGGATTCGCATCTTCAGCTTCCTAGACTGCCGCTGTACCCATTCAGCTATTGAGCAATTGATGGGGATTGGTAGCAAGTTTTATCCAATTTAAGAGCACAAAATATTTTTAACCCATTGAGCACCAGGCTCCCTCTCCCCTTGACAAGTAATCTGGTGTTAGACAGAGTAAAATAAAGTAGGGCACATTAGAGTGCAATGCGACTTAATGGATTGGGTTAACTGGACACATTAGCAGATAGTGTGCTCTCCCACCAGTGCTCTCCCACCAGTGCTCTCTCACCAGTGCTCTCCCACCAGTGCTCTCTCACCAGTGCTCCCCCACCAGTGCTCTCTCACCAGTGCTCTCTCACCAGTGCTCTCCCACCAGTGCTCTCTCACCAGTGCTCTCCCACCAGTGCTCTCTCACCAGTGCTCTCTCACCAGTGCTCTCCCACCAGTGCTCTCCCACCAGTGCTCTCCCACCAGTGCTCTCCCACCAGTGCTCTCCCACCAGTGCTCTTCCACCAGTGCTCTCTCACCAGTGCTCTCCCACCAGTGCTCTCCCACCAGTGCTCTCTCACCAGTGCTCTCCCACCAGTGCTCCCACCAGTGCTCCCACCAGTGCTCTCCCACCAGTGCTCTCCCACCAGTGCTCTCCCACCAGTGCTCTCCCACCAGTGCTCCCACCAGTGCTCTCCCACCAGTGCTCTCCTGAAAATTGTCCAGCATCAGACAGAGAAGAATAATGAAGTAGGGTGCATTAGGGCACAATGCAATATAATGGGTTAATTAGGATTATTATGAAATATGATTGAAACACTGTGTGTCTTCCAAGACAACAATTAGTCCTCATGAAAATATATGTGCTCTTCAATTGGATAAAACTCAGATCATTACTATAGTCCCTGTTGGCTCGATAGCTCAATGGATAGAGTAGCCTCACAAACCTGTAACCTGTCTCTATTGTTTTACAATGTCAGTGTAATGTGTAGGTAGGACTTGATTTGGGACTCCTCAGTCCTGTTGTCTGTACCTTCAATCGTTTTATTGATTGTAAAGTTTATAAATTAAATTAAATTAAATTAAATTAAATTAAATTAAATTAAATTAACCTGCAAGTTTGAATTCAGCTCAAGACTACAAATTCTTTGTTGATACAAAACAGTTGTTCATGAATTGTTGATTTCCTTACCTTTTGAATATATTCAGACTGAGTCAGTCTCTTGTCTCGTCTTGTTAACATTGTATCAAGGGCATCAACATTGTACCTTCGAACCTTCAATATACAAAGTTATAAATTGTAGCTATAACTCTGTGTTACAGAATGGCACATTATAAATATGATTTCATGTTAATATCACTTTCTTTCCACAAGAATACTGTATTATGTATTTTTAAATCTTGGGCCATTTAAATCAATGTGCCATGTTTCTTACATATAAACATGTCCTGTACATGCAACAGCTGTGCATTTATGATTGTGTTGTTGTCAGTTGTGATATCTGATCCTGTTCTCACTGAGAAAATCGTCAAATACTGTATTCATATTTAATTTTGTGCCTACTTAATTTTTAGGGATGTGCTGAATACAGATAAAAACAGACGGTAAAAATAGACATCCGGCAAAATTTGTCCAGATATTTACTGGATACTACTGGAATTTTTAATAGAACCATGAAACCAAAAAAAATGTTCCCTTTGTCTTTTTTGTGTGTTAAGAAATTGTGAAAAGGAACAATTACTGCATACATGGCATGCATAGAAAAAGGGCATTAAATTTCACAAATTTAAAGCTATTTGAACACTTTATTTTCCATAAAAATCTGAACTACAATTTTCTAAACAAGTCAACATAAGGTATATAATTGATAACTGACAGTGACTCAGATGAAGGCATGTAGTCGATGGATATTTTTGCTCTACAAGATGCAAACTGTAGCTGAATACTAAGGCTATTACTAAATAATTTGTTATTTATGTCGATATATGAACTGTACATCTTGCTGTTGATCATATTTATCAAGAATTTTTCAATACGATTCAAATTTTGATTGGGAAATATATTTACTGTATTCATTAGGTTTTTTATTCGTGCGACTTTAAAATTTCCTACAGTTGCAAAATGAAAGTCCCCCAAAATTAAGAGGGTGATTACATGGATCCAAGCCTGAGAATAAGCAGCTGGACACGGTCTGACACAAAAGGGCAAATGTCCGGCAAAATGCTTTTCTCACCGGACAGTATGTCTGGTCCAGTGATACTGCTGTAATTATATCAATGAAAAGTGAAACTAAGATACTAGGGGCCAGTGCACCGGAACTCGGTTCCGGCCGGAACCCTGAATTTTCAGAGTTCCGGCCGGAACTGTAGCATGTAAGTTAGTTTTTTGAAGAGCTGGTCATGAAAATATTGTGTGAAAAGCCCTGTCAAGACACAATTCACCCCGGTCTCTTCTTTGCACTTGCTGCTAGGCCACATGTAAATATATGTTTGCATTTTCAATTTGGCTTCTTATGTTAATTTATTATGATATTACAATATTTTTTATGACCAGCACTAAGTAATAAGTGGCGGCAAAGCGGGCTTGCCTGGTTCATGTAATCGGACCCTAAGTACAAATAATGGCTGTATCATCATTGGCTGTACATATAATCATTGGTCAGGATATCTGGGGCTATTACATTTAAAAGCTGAACCCACCCTTGGCGAGGACCCCTGCTTTTAGGGAGTTCTACCCCCTCCAGAAGTACATTTTTGCATTTTAACCCCTCTGGAAACAGCATTTTTCTCCAATTATCTGAAAAAATTGACTAATTAACTCCCTTGGAAATTGAGTTCCTCGATTGGGGGAGAAGGTAGACTGCGAATACAGACGCCTCACATCAGGCGAAATGTAGGGAGAAGGGAGTTGGATATTTATAATAAAATATGTAAATATAGCCCCTATCTAATATCTGAGAATCAATGTTCAATTGTTTATGCGCCGATCAAAACGAAGGGTCCCCCCCCGGGCATGAGAGGGGCATTTGCAATTCGTGATTTTCCCTAGGGGAGGACATTTGTTATCAACTGGTGGGGCATTTGATTCCACCTATAATGATGACAGGGATTTGACCACAACTAAAAAACTCTTAGTTTACCTAACATGAAGTCTAGTATAGATAGACTCGCTTCCCGCTGACACTAGAAACCACAGACTTTAATGTGTCAATCAAAAGCACATTGTTTTCTTTTGTGTTTTCAAGAAAATGGAAAAATCTTTATTAAACGATTTTCGAAGTCAAAATGTGAATTATATGTTCAAGATTGGTTGGACCAGAATGGACTGGGAAAGTTGAAAGTTGAAGAATTTTAACCTTCAAATTAAATTTACAATGGGGCATTTGACCACCACTTAGTTGTGGATTGTAGGGCATTTGAACTTCGTGTTTTGACTTGGGGTGGGGAATTTGATCGCTGCAAAATCCAAAAAGTCAAACGCCCGGGTATATGCCCGTGGGGATGATACACCTTCGTTTTGATCGGTGCATTATACAGTCTTTATACAATTATACTATGCGGTATAGTGTTAGCATATAGTATCTGTTACTTCCTGACAACATTTACCACCCATAATTTATTTATTGAACGTTCTCTGACTAAATATTTATTTCTACGAGCTTTCGGCTATCAGTCTATAGCCTTAGACGGGTGTATGCAAATGATTCTATAGAGGACGCTAAACTTAAGTAGGTGGTATGAAATACGAGACTATCTATGCTATGTTACAAATGAGGAATATAAATATTTAATTAATGTTTCTTGAGTTCCTTTCTTAAAAGTATTGTGTATTGTGCTGGAACTGGAAGCGTATTAGAGTTATTATCAGCTTCGTCTGTTAGTGCAGTGTGCCAGGACTCTAAGGTTTTAAGGTTTCTATGATTTCCCTTGTCTATTACTTTAGCATTGGCAAAGTCAATTAGATGATCTTGAGTCCATGCGTGTTTCGCGACATTCGACCCCTTCTTGCCTTGTTTCCCATTCCTTACGTGTTCGGACTTTCTCGTCTTCAGGGAACTTCCTGTTTCGCCTATGTAGCTCCAACTGCAATCTCGACATGGTATCTGGTAGACCACGTTCTTTTGTTCTTCTGTTGGTGGTTTCTGTTTTGCAGATGGGAATTGGCGTTCGAGGGTTTTCATTGGCTTTAAACAAATTCTTTGCCTCTGTGTTTCTTCCTTGTCCCCAAAACCCATGTTTCCCTCCATCCAACACTGTCCCTGTAACTCCAACTGAGTTTTCTGATGTTTCGGTTAAAGAAGTTTGTCGTCTGCTAAATACTCTATCCACATCGAAAGCTACGGGTCCAGACGGGATTTCGGCAAGATTATGAATTAAAGGAGTGTTCGGAAGTCCTTGCTCCGTCTCTTACTGCATTATTTAATAAATCCATTGCTATCGGCAAGGTTCCTGCAAATTGGAAGTATGCAAACATCGTTCCCGTTCCCAAAAACAACAAAACTCATATTGTCAGTAATTACCATCCAATTTCATTATTATCTCTCGTGTCTAAAGCTCTTGAGCATGTGGTCCATAACCGAGTCTTATATATTGTCAAACCTCTTCTTCATGACCAACAACACGGCTTTCGTTCGGGAAAATCTTGTATTACTCAGCTTCTTGACGTTGTTTACAACATTGGCAAAGCGTTAGATTGTGGTAAATGGACATGATCTATTTAGATTTCTCCAAAGCTTTCGATTCGGTACCTCACGATAAACTTATTTTTAAACTCTCCCAATTTGGTATTACTGGGCCGCTCTTAGACTGAACGCTCGTAAACAGCGCGTGGTAGTTGACGGTTTCTCGTCAAGTTACCTCGATGTAACATCTGGTGTGTTCGTCAAGGCAGTATTGTTGGCCCATTGCTTTTCTTGATCTACGTTAACGACCTTCCTGACGCAGCAAAACACGGCAAAGTACCAATGTTTGCCGACGACAGTAAATGCTATAAAATCATAAACAATCCACACGATTCTAATCTCCTCCAATCAGATCTTCAAGCCCTGTGTCTTTGGTCTTCTACGTCGAAGTTAAAGTTCAACTTGAAGAAATGTTCTGGAATAAGATTTTCGCGGAAACGTTGTATCGAGTCTCCCGATTACTTTTTATGCTCCAGTCAGATCCCTTTTCAATCAACTCAAAAGGATCTTGGTATACTTATTACGAATAACCTAAAATGGTCGCCTCATATTTCCAACATTGTTTCCAAAGCAAACCGCATGCTTGGATTTCTACGACGTAACTGCACATATTTAACTGATATAAACTGTCGACGCTCTCTCTATTTGACACTTGTTCGTACACACCTGTGTTATGGCAGTGAAATTTGGGCACCCCAAACAACATCTAGGGACCTTCTTTGTATTGAAAGTGTCCAAAGACGAGCGACCAAGTATATCCTTCAAGACTTCACCTCATCTTACACCAACCGTTTAAAGAAACTTAACCTACTGCCTATTTCATACTGGTTCGAAATAAAAGATATTACGTTTTTTTATAAATGCAAAGCTGATTATTATGACTTAACACTTGAAGACTATATTCTAGACAATTCTACTAATCATCACACTCGCTTGAGCTGTGCTGATTCATACCGACCAAACCGTTGCAGAACATCTTCTTTCCGAAACCTATTTTTCAATAGGATAGTACCACTATGGAACAGCCTGCCAGGAGAAATAAAATCCTCTCTCTCCATTCAGCCACTGACACTTAAACTATAATCACTACACTCAAAAAGTTAATGCATGTTTTGATGTTAATAGGCCAAGGACTTGGAAAACGTTTTGCTCTAAATGTCGTTCTTGTTTTATGTCTTGTTGTTCGTAGAAGTGCATGTTCTGAGTTTTTGTACGAATGTAATTATGTGTAATACCGTAAATATGTAACTAGCTATGTATTTTGTTAATTTTATAACCGTTTATAGTATAGTATAGCATAGTATAGCGTAGTATTTTCATGTATGGCAGGACTTAATTTGGGACTTTATTTGTCCTGTTGTCTGTGACTTCAATTTCTTATTGTAAAACTAATAATAACCCCCCCCCCAAAAAAAAACAACTTTAATGTCATGTTTTTGGAGTGTTCTGGATAGAGGTTCGGTTAGTCCTTTGATATATGGTAGAACCGCAATTCCTGCAGATGGCGCCTTTCCTTCAACCAGTTCGAAAAATGACCGCACTAACTCTTCAGGGCTTGCTACAGTTTTGTTCTTATGTTTTTTTTTATCAATCCTGAAATTAATTTCTTCGGATAACCATTTGATGCCAGGACTGTGGTTATATGATTTAGTTCTCTTTCTTTGCTTTCGTCAGTGGTAGGAAGTGACAAGGATCGGTTGATAAGTGTTGTTGCAGTACTAATTTCATGCTTTTGGTGGTGGTGTGATAGGTAGTTTAAGTAACAGTCTGTGTGAGTGGGTTTGCGGTAAACGTCAATAAAAATTAAGCCGTCGTTTCTAGAAACTAATGTGTCAAGGAAAGCGATCTTTCCGTCCTTTTCGTTTTCGATAGTGAAGTCAATGTGTGTGTCAATGGAGTTTAGTGTGTCATGAAAAGATGATATGTTAGTCTTTTTTATTATGGAAAAACAATCGTCTACAAAACGTTTCCAAACTTTAGGTGGTGAAGTTGCGTCTCGGATGGCCTGTTCTTCTATCACTTCCATGCACAAGTTAGCAACAATCGCGCTAACGGGGCAGCCCATGGCACATCCATGGATTTGTTTGTAGGTGGTGTTGTTATAAACGAAAAAACTGTTAGATAAAACAAAAGATAAAAGTCGAATAATGTCATCAATGTCAAGTTGAGTTCTGTCAGGAAGTGTCGGATCGTTTTCTAATTTCGTTCTAATATATTTGCACGCTTTGTCAACAGGAATGGCTGTAAAAAGTGAAACGACATCAAATGAAATCATAGATTCGTCTTCGTCTATGGTAATGTTGGAAATTTCGTTTTTGAATTGAGTAGAGTTAGCTACTGAGAAGCCGTTTTTGTTTTGTAGTGGAGAAAGAATTTTTGTAAGGAATTTGGAAGTTTCGTAAAGAGCTGAGTCGATACAAGTAACTATAGGTCTAAGTGGGTAACCTACTTTGTGATGCTTGATGGCTGGAGGGATTGCGTCACTTCAGTGTAGTTTACGGTAAGTATTCTCAGGAACTTTCTCTTGATTCTTTAGGTTAAGTAGCATGGCATTTAACTCTCGTTCTACTCGTTTGAATGGTGGCTTAGGTATGATAGCGTAGGTCGTTTCATCTTTCAATAGGTTTTCCATCTTCTTGTCATACTCCTCTCGGTCCATGATGACTAAACTGTTACCTTTGTCGGCTTTCATGATAATTCAAGATTGTCGTGTCCTGTTTCAAGTCTTTCAGCACTTTTCGTTCGTTGATGTTTACGTTTTTGTGCGGAGGGATGCGTGCTCGGTCTAAGATGGAAGCTGTATTTGTCCGTATAATGTCTTTAGTTTCGTCTGGTAGATTTTTGATCGCTGTTTCAACTTCCGCAATGATGTTTTTGTGTGGAATCTTTGCAGGTGCGATGGCGAACTTCGGTCCTTTTTCAAGAAGGGAGTGTTCTGCGTCGGTAAGAGGTTTCTTTGATAGGTTTATCACGGAGGTATTCATAGACGATTGTTTTTCCATAATAAAAAAGACTAACATATCATCTTTTCATGACACACTAAACTCCATTGACACACACACATTGACTTCACTATCGAAAACGAAAAGGACGGAAAGATCGCTTTCCTTGACACATTAGTTTCTAGAAACGACGGCTTAATTTTTATTGCCGCTTGCCGCAAACCCACTCACACAGACCGTTACTTAAACTATCTATCACACTCATTAATCACACCACGACCAAAAGCATAAAATTAGTACTGCAACAACACTTATTAACCGATCCTGGTCACTTCCTACCACTGACGAAAGCAAAGAAAGAGAACTAAATCATGTAACCACAGTCCTGGCATCAAATGGTTATCCGAAGAAATTAATTTCAGGATTGATCAAAAAACATAAGAACAAAACTGTAGCAAGCCCTGAAGAGTTAGTGCGGTCATTTTTCGAACTGGTTGAAGGAAAGACGCCATCTGCAGGAATTGTGGTTCTACCATATATCAAAGGACTAACTGAACCCCTAGCCAGAACACTGAATGTGTTTCGTATTACTTTTATTTGTCTTTTACCGCGTACAGGTTCAGAGGTAGTACTGTATAAGCATGTCTTTCAGACAATGCAGGTCAAATATCTTTCTTGCCGATCAAGATGAACGGCAACGTTGCTTCTTCGCCGATCAAAAACAATTTCAGGCTGCCGATCATTGATCGTTGATTGGCCTTTTTTTTCGAGCCCTACCATATTAGAATTAATTTGTGATGATTAATGATATGTTCTTTCAGTACAAATACACATATACACATTAATTTTTTGCCCGCACCCTGGGGAATTTGACGATGGTTTTCGCCCGCACAGTGGGGAATTTGACCAAAATATTTTCGAAAATTCAAATTCCTGGGGTTCGCCCGGGGGGATGATCGCAGTTGGAATTGACTGGTACATAAATATTTAGTCAGAGAACGTTCAATAAATAAATGGGGGGGGGGGGTTCAATAGGGGTATACAAATCCGCCGATTTGCCAGACTGGAAAGTTTGCAAATTGCGCAACCGAGATCAAAATTTTCCGGATTTTTGCGCGTCTAGTTTTCGAATCTGCGCGGTTGGTATCTGAATTAGCGCGTGCAGTTTTAAATATAATTCATAGTTTTTAGTTTTCACCAAACGTGACAAAGTAAAATTGTTTATTTATACAGCTGTTCATGTTCTATGATAGTTTATTTGCTTACGAAATTTAAATGTTTTAAGAATGATCATGTCACATTCACATGCACCACCATACGGAACGCTCACCAACATTCGTTGCTTGCCTGCCTTGCCAGAGCCTTTTTTAAGAATTTGTCCGTGGGGAGAGAGTAATCTACAAAGAGGGACCACACTATTGTACGTAATAGTAAGGGAGGTCTGGGGGATTTTCCCCCAGAACATTTTTGTGCTTTTCCACCCCTAGGACTGCATTTCGTGCATTTTGTGAACAGATTTTTAGATGCACAGCGTTACATTATACTGTAGATATATTCTTATAGAATCTTCAGTTAAGTACTCCCTTGGATGTTTATGTGAATACCACAACTCCGTCACTAACTTGTTTCGCTGATCAGTCTACCTTCCAGCAACTCAAATCTATAGGGTCTGGGATATGCTATCCAATGAGGCACAGGTTTAAAATCTAATGTATTCAGGACACAATGTTTAGCATTTTTAACTACATTGATCGGACCATCTGACATTTGCCACTTACATTTGGCATAGGCTTGTGCCCAGGCTCTTTAGACTTTAGTTTGCAACCCTAGCGTTCAAATGACGTAATTTCACCATCGTTAAAATTTTTGTCCGACCGTAAACACGCTTGTCCGATGGATCCGATCGATCGGACCATCTGACATTTGCCACTTCAATTGTGGCATAGCCTCCTGCCCAGGCTCTTTACTTTTGGCAACCTAGCTTTGAAAATAACATCATTTCACCATCGGTAAAATCTTTGTCTGACCGTAACCAGCTTGTCCGACAGATCCGATCGATCGTGATCAACGTGGCATAGCCTCCTGCTCAGGTTCTTTCCTTGCAACCCTGGCGTTCAAATGACATCATTTCACCATCGGTAAAATTTTTGTCCGACCGTAAACGTGCTTGTCCGATGGATCCGATCGATCGATCGGACCATCTGACATTTGCCACTTACATTGTGGCATAGCCTCCTGCCCAGGCTCTTTACTTTGCAACCCTGGCATTCAAATGACGTCATTTCACCATCGGTAAAAGTTTTGTGCATGTCTTTCCAACATGCACACAAAAAAACATTTCGAAAATATAACGGTCCGACCTATATGTCATGCCTGACTGTTGTAATAGTCCTTATATTATAAATTAATATCACGTTATGCTATATATTTGTCTACGTATATTTGTCCATCGGACAAACTATTCTCTGACGGTAGACATGTTTGTCCATCGGATCAATCGGACTCCGATCATGGATATTGGACATCAATCTAAAGAAAAAGCAGTTCTTTGGCGAAGTAACTTATGGGGGGTCGCATACTTCAATTTATCCGAACTGATTGGCTGCAATTGTCCGATTGAATATTCTGGCTGTATGATATATCGGTATCATACTTCATGAAGTATCAAGTATGTTAGCAGATATGGTATAAATGGATGAGTTAGGCCCTCTCAAATTCAGTTATTTACCGAAGTTGGCAATTTGGCACACTGAGACGCTGACTGCTGTCATGATTATATTTATAATTTATAAATGATTCCTTTATAAATAATTCCTTATTCTGTTATTCAGTTGTAGTGCATTTCAACATTTCGAAATTGAATCATTCCATCCTGAACAACACGCGCTAGTGTATTATATATGTGTAATGTGTTATTGTATATTTGTAGACAATTCAGCTTCTGATAATACAGAATACAAATTTGACATTTCCATAAAGTGCGACACAAAAACATGAAACAATTTACAACACTACATTTACCTCGCAGAAATTATTCAATAGTCTCTTGATGAATGATCGCCGTGGAACAACAGCAAAGACCCTCAATGGTCGATGTTCGCCTTGAAAAGCCAAAACCAAAAGACAGCCGAAATACAATTAGATCAAATTTCGGAATGGCTGATGTTTATTGGTTATTATTGTGCCTCGTTGGAAATGAATTTTCACCATACCAATACCACATTGATCACACATAACAGCTAAAATTTGCGGCGGCGCTGGCATGTGTAAATTTGAGACGCACATAAAATTGCAGATTTCCTGTGTCTCACGACATTTCTCCTGCGCGCTAATTTGTCTCATGCAGGGCGCGCTTGAAAAATAGCACAATTTTAATTTCATGCGCGCACACACTTGAAAAATTGCGCATTTTCAATTTCACCTGCGCCTAATTTTGAAACTGCGCGTTTGACAACAGATTTTTGAAATTTGCGCATCTGGACGCGCATTTTGAAAAAGGTGTGCAACCGAGATCTTGGTTGCGCAGTACAAACTTTCCAGTCTGGCCGATTTGAAGCAAAATCCGCGATCCAAGCCAAAATATTAGATAAATCCGCAATCTGCTGTATTAATAAGATCCGAAATCTGTGTAAAACATTTGCCAGATCCGAAATCCAGACAATTTTTTCTGTGAAATCCGATTCGAAAACCTATTCACCCCATCCTGGCTACGCATCCTTTATTTTTTCAATTTACCACCCAATTAAATTGAAATATTTGACCAAATTTGATATATTACTAGCAAATAAAGTTATTAAAGCTACTCCTCATAAGAATTTTAATCATTTCAGTAAATTTCACTGAAGTGACTGAACGTCTGAACATACCTTTCCATGGAAAAGTTTATCGATTGTTTTTATAGCTAAGCCAGACGCGACAACACATCCGCATATAATGCCAAATCCTGGTAAAATCTCGTACCACATAACCCAAGTATAGAAAAGGAAAAAGGGATAAAAATGAAACAAAATATCCCGATATTAAATAGTTCAAGCAGCAGTGATTCAAAAATTGTGATATGAGAAATGAAATACTTAATGTAAGAAAAAGTTTAATAATTAAGGCTAAGTACAGATAGGGGCATTGAAGGGTATTTATGGAGAAGCAGGTATAATAATTATAACAAGATACGCATGCAAAGAGGAAGAGATTATTTCGTTGCCTCAGAGTGACAAAACGTAACAAAGCTAGCAACGGTTTTACTAACACTATCCCTACTCCAAACACCAACTCCAACCCTAACCCACTCCAAATTTGTCATTCTGAGGTCAGCGAAATAGTTGCCAATCATGATGAGGATAAAAACACGCGTGTCTTGACCTCCAGACACGCGTGTCTGGAGGTCAGATTTGAGATTTGGCTTCAAGGGTGTTACTCCAAAAAAGCGTACGAGATTTGGGATTTTCAAAATTTGGGATTTTTAGGGATTTTTTGGAGGGGTGTACGAGGTTTTTTAGAGTGATACACCCCTCGGAAAAAGATAGGCAGTTTATCTGTAGGTGGCGTTCTAGTTTTATATTGATTTCAATGATTCGAATCAGATTTGGTCAAATATTTTACTTTAATTATGGTAAAATACGCCAATTTTGGAAAAATTTTAGTGAAAAATTCGTGTTTGGATGGTATAAAAAATTGATGAATGGAACTCTCTAGCCTGCAAATGCTGGTAATTTCAAACATGGAATAGGAAATTTATAGTTAGATGCGAGCGGTCCCTCCTTTCCGCGGGTACTGCTCGCGGTCTAGAAATTAGTGGGTTTTCCGGCTAACCTACCCAACCTGGTTGCCTTATCGTGAGCCATGATAACAGAATTGTTTGAAAGCATTGAGTCAAGTAAGTTCAAGATGGATTGTAAAATAACCATGGTTCAACTACTAAATTCAGCTTTAAACAATTGACCCCTGCTCTACAGGCTAAGGTGTCTAAGGTGTGTGATAAATGGTCAGAGGTAAATGGTGGTGAAGCAAACAAATGTTTACATGTTTTAAGTCTTTTAAGAACATTATTTTATTTATTTATGATTAAGAAAAGAACAATACAATCAGACGTACAGAAATAGATAATTTGTTCAGATCCTTGGTATTGCCTAATATTGACTTATGGGCTCTCTATTTACGGAGCTCCTCAATCGGACCTTATGATTGTTCAGCGTTTTCGGTTTAGATAGATTTTACGAACGCAGTTATATTTCTTTCCCGATCAGTGTACATGATCTGTAACAAAAACAGGACACGCAAATCAGTCACCGCCTCTGATGATCATGAATGATCATATGATCGTCAGACGGTCAGAGACCCCTCGCACAAATTATACCATGGAAAAAAGAAATACTTTTCAATCTATGCAAGAAACAATGGCTTTATTCTAAAATTATTTTCAAATATAGTGTAGTGTAGTATTTTATACGTATAAACTATAATCATAGCAGCCCAAAAATGCGTGTCATGCACGCGCGAGGGAAGTACATCAGTAAATAATGATAATAATAAAGGGAGCGAGAAAATTGAAACTGTACTCCCTTACTATAGTTTTTTAATATAGCTAAGGTGATAAAAGTCAGAATTGGTACATTTACTATATTCCAGTTTAATACGAATATCAATAAAAAATGACGAAATTTGAGCGGTCTTAGTTTGAACACAACTTTTTTTCCGGCATATCTTGTAATTAATTATTCAGTGATATTTAATATACCGTAAAATTGCACCCTTGCACTTTCCATATCAAAGTAAAAAATGTTATAAAGAGCGGATTATTATTTATTACTGTATATATCTATTATCATACAGTGATTAATAGTGAAAATACGAATACATCCTCAGCAACACGGTCATTCCACAAACATAATTTTCCCAGTATATACCGAGATTCGATCGAAACAGGAGTTTCCTTCAATATTGTCTGAAACGTGGCACATTATAACTTAAACAGACATAGATCACAACTTATATTTTATATTACGAATAGTATGGAATAAATCCTTCCAAAATTCCTGCGCTGAAGACGACAATATTTTTCCATATTTTCCCTTCGTGTCGGTGAATATTTTGTTTTATTTCTATGAGCTGGCCTTGTTTGAGCATCCAACCAATCATGGCGCTTCAAATATAGTCACGTGAGCCGAAACATCGTGGAGAAAATTTAGCCCGATTTAGCTGCGCCCAAGCAGCTATCGCGAAGGGCGGCGATAATGAGGAAGAAACGAAGAAGCAAAGGTTCTAGCGAACTAGACAATGTTAAATAACGAATAAGGTCTAGAATGAAAGCTAAGTCCCCATACTAAAACATGGGCATAATACTTTTTCTGATAGACACTTCGGCGTCTATGTCTCAACGGACATTCTTGGGTACTACACTCATCGACATCGGCAAAGGTGCCGTTGAAACGTTTATTAAGGTATGTTTTAAACCCTTTCGGCAGTTGTAAGGCTAGGGGGATAAACTAAAATTCATTCTGAGTTAATATTTCTTTTAAACAGTTAAGGCAAAGGGACCAAGGAAGCCGAACAGATCGATATATGTTGATGACGTCGGACGAAGTGGGCGCCATTAAGGTAAAATGACAAAGAGAATGCGCAGACGGTTTACTTTTGTAATATTTATAATATTGAAATATGCAACAACCTGCAAGCAGGCATTAACATAAATTAGTAACCAGCAGCTAATATTTCACCAGGGCAGATAAATCAATGACGGATGATTTATCTGCCGGATAAATCAATGACGGATGATTTACATTAATATATGTCTGAAATGAAAACTGAAGTTAGTTGTTTAATTATTGTATCTGTTCAGGGTTCATAGCCCCCCTGGAAATCCTTGAAAACCCTGCATTTTTATTTTAGACCTTTAATTAAACACCTTAAAATGTCCTGCATGGAATTTCAAAGTGGGCCCATAAGGCCACATAAAAAAAAATAGTTGGTTAGCGTCCCCGCCCGCCCACAAAAAAGGCCCCGCTCAGGATTTTTTTTTATTTTTTATTTATAAAAAAACAACTTTTATTGATCAACGGGCTCTAATGTATGTAGTATTTCTG